GCTGCTTTCTTTCGTTTTCTGTTTCTCACTTCATAACCTCCCTTGAACCCTACACCATTCATCTGCATCTAAAACTCTTGCGCCTATGTGGTTATTGCATTTTTGCATATTTGTCTGTCCCTATAAATACTTCTTCAACCCTCTTCAGCTTCCAATATCAACTGCTCGTTACCTCCAACTCATTCATTGCAATAATTCAATCATCGCACCACCTCGCTCTCTTTCTGTGCCTTACTGAATACAGAACATGGCAAAGCTGTCGTGTATTCCATCTCTACTGCTCTTCATTTTCTTGGTCAGCTTAAACGTCAACATATCATCTGCCAAAACAAGTTATAATGTACTTACTTATGGTGCCAGGCCAAATGGGAAAACAGACTCCACCCAAGCCTTCCTTCATGCCTGGACAGCGGCATGTGGCTCTACTGATCCGACCATGATTTACATACCAAAAGGAAGGTATCTGCTTGGTTCTGTGGCCTTTAAAGGTGGTCATTGCAAAAGTCCTGATATCACTATAAGGATTGATGGGACCCTGATTGCTCCCGAGGATTATCGCATACTTGGTCGGGCCCGTAATTGGCTTAGCTTTGAAGGTGTCAGCGGTGTCTCCATTGTTGGGGGGGCTCTTGATGCCAAGGGATCGCCCCTGTGGGATTGCAAATCCAAAGGCAGCAATTGCCCTGCTGGAGCTACGGTACTATACATTGCTCAAATTACTATAATTCTCAATGAATAATGTCGCATTATTGGACGTACTAAGGTTAGTTTTTCTTAATCTTTTTTCCTTGCATGGATGCAGACCTTGAGCTTTGTGAACTCCAACAACATAAAGATCAAAGGATTGCTGTCACTAAACAGCCAAATGTTCCACATTGTGATAAATGGCTGCCAGAATGTGCAAGTCCAAGGAGTCAGAGTGATAGCTGCTGGTGACAGCCCAAACACAGATGGCATTCATGTCCAATTATCAACTGATGTTGTGATCATGGATTCTTCGATTAAAACCGGGGATGATTGTATCTCAATTGGACCCGGGACTAAGAACCTGTGGATCGAAAGGGTCGGATGTGGCCCCGGCCATGGCATCAGGTGAGAAATGATTTAAAACCTGCAATCAGCTGGATTTTCTCAGGTATATGTATTCAATGATGATTAACATGACGGGCAATTATGGGATGTTGTTTTTCAGTATCGGAAGCTTAGCCAAGACCACGGATGAGCGCGGGGTTCAGAATGTGACAGTTAAGAACACAGTTTTTAGTGGCACTACAAATGGGTTTAGAATTAAGTCGTGGGCCAGACACAGCAACGGTTTTGTTAAAGCAATTCGATTCAGTGGAGCCACTATGATTAATGTCCAAAATCCAATCATCATCGATCAAAACTACTGTCCGCACAATTTAAATTGCCCCAATCAGGTTAGAAATCGGCACTTGAATAAGTTTTTTCTACATACATTCAACGACGGTATCTCGATTAAACTTGCATTTTAATCGTGTTTTGTGCTGTGACTTGTGGCTATAGGTATCGGGCATACAAATAAGTGATGTCATGTATCAAGGCATTCGAGGAACATCTGCCACACCAGTAGCTATAAAGTTTGATTGTAGCTTCAAATATCCATGCAAAGGTATAAGACTGCAGAATGTAAACTTGACCTACTTAAAGAAAGAAGCTCGGTCAACTTGCACCAACGCGATTGGAAAAACATATGGTCAAGTTCTGCCAGATAATTGTTTGTAATTTTTCTTTTTTACTGAGAAGTATTTATATATTTTCTGTTTGTAATTAACTGTTTATATATAAATTAATAACTTATATATCGTTGGTATTTGGTTGTTGAGAAGCAATGATATTCCAGAAGAGAGAACTACAACCTTAATTGTTTCTTTATTATTTTTTATTGGGTCTCTACTTGGGTATATAGATTTAAATTTTATTTATATAGGAAATTATCTCTTAAGATATGTTAATGACATCAAAATTGTGATGTAATAAGAAATCTTTGTTATAACTTTGTGGTTTTAGTTATTTTTTATTTTATTTTTTTTCTAGTTTTTTTTTTATTGTAGCACATCAACACTGATTTTTTCTTTCTTTCCATGTATTCTCTTTCCCTGTTTCTCTAAGTCTGTTCTTGTTATCTTTTTTTTTTTTTTTTGTGGCTCTATGTATTGCTTCTGCTGTTAGTTTTATTGCCTTGTTATTTTGTCAATCTTGTAATAAAAGTTGTAAATATCTGATAGGTGTTGTTTCTCAAGTCGTCCATTTTTTAGATTCAATCCCGAAGAAATATGTGAATATCCTGGCGCAGATAAGCTAATAACACCACAAAAAGGAAATAATAAAAAGCAACAGTAGGTATGTGGTTAGGGCCTAAGGAAAGGAATTCAAAAATTGAATCTACGTACTGTATAATGGGCTGCAAGAATATCAACAATCCATTTCAAATCTAAACCTGAAATCTGAAGATTTTATGTAATAACCTTAACAAGTAACTCGCGGTTAAAACATTAAGGACTCCATTCGATCGTTTTTCCAAGAAACAACAATAAAAATAATAACTTTAGTTTTAGTTAATTTAAAATAATATTATCTTGTCTCTCTTTTTCTTGAAGTGTGAACGAGATTTGTTTTCCATCAAATTGAAGATGTTTCTCTTATTTGTTGCAAGAATTTGAGTACTTGATCTTAGTTAAAAAAATAAAAATTTAATTTTAACGAGTAATTATTTTATTAGATTCACTTGCTATTATAAAAGATATTATGTTGGTTCACTACCTATATATACCACCACCCCACTCTTTGGTATGATTCCATTAAAAGACAAGTGCCTAACAGAGATTTTGTTCAAAAAAAAAAGAAAAAAAACCTTAAGCATAAGCATGGGTTGAATGAACTAGTCTTGTAATTACTGTCACGGGCCAGACAAAGCACTGGATTTGTTCAAGCAATTCGATTCATGGGAGCTACCATGATTAATGTCTAAAATCCTATCATCATCGATCAAAATTGCTGTCCGCACAATTAATTGCCCCAGTGAGGTTAGAAATCGGAACTCGAATAGGTTTTTTCTTTATATATTCAACAATGATATCTCGATTAAATTAACTTGCATTTTAATCGTGTTTTGTGCCGTGGCTTGTGGCTTTAAAATATAACAATACCTTAATTATATTCATGCAGAGCTAACAATACCCCTTCAACTAAAACACTGTAAGCAATGTAATCAAGAGGCTAGGTTAAGGTCCAAAAATAGTGATCTCAAGTACCTTATAAATGCCTTATAAATCAAGCAAATAGGCCTCTTTTGTTATAACTTAGTGGTTTTAGGCATTGGGCATGCAAATAATATTTTTTTTATATTTTATTTTAAATATAAAAATTATAATAAATTATTAATTAAATTCATATTTGTTTGTAAATTGAATTCAATTAAACACATGTCTTATTACAAATATGTTTTTAATGTGTAATTTTATAAAAATAAATTAACCAATAAAAATATTTGCTAATGCTATCCTGCTATAGAAAAAGAGAGATTGTTATTATTATTTCTCTCCTTGCTAAGATAACTAGGAAAGAATATGGTAATATTAATAGTGGAGATTATTTTCGGTTTGGTTTGTTATTTATTAAAATAATAACTAAATTTGTTTTTTTTTATGGTTTGATTTTTTTATTATTTTTTTTTAGTTTTCTCTGTTTAATTGGGTTTTTAGTTTTTTTTCCACCCTAGATATTAATATGAACAATAAAGCATTAAAAAAAAAATTCAAACTCCTTTTCTTTTTTAAAAGAAATTCGACAATCCAATTTTTTTACTTTTAACATTTTATGGATTTTGAATCAGTTATCATAATTTATTTTAATTTTTTCTATAAAAATATTATAATCTTAAATAAATATCTTAATATTTGATTTGTACTCAATTTTCACAAATATTTATTGTTATTAGTATATTATTAAAAAAATATTTTTTTTTTAATTTAGTAGATTTCATGATTCGAGTAGTAAATTTTATAAGTTAAGCTCAAAACTGGATCGATTTAATATAGTATTATTTTAAAATATATATGTATTTGTGTGTTCTCTTAAAAAAATTAAAAATTAAATTATATTTTTCATGTCTATTCAAATTGTCTAGGAATCTTATATAGAGTAAACTTTATACGTAAGTAACAAACCCTATATCTGAAACCGAAACCAGGCTAGTCTTCGAAATCGAAAGCTGCTGTGATTTGCGGAAGCATTTACTGTTTCCAAGCAACACTCCTCCTCCAACGCCATCGCCAATGCCAACGCCAACGCCAACGCCAACCCCAGCCCCTACCTCTATTGCTGTTGCTGCCATTGTCTTCTTCTCCTGTGTTTCCTTTTGTTTATTGCTTGCTATGTTCTCTCAAATTGGCAGAAACGGATAACATGTATTGAGCAGCAGCAGCAACTACTTCATCTGAGGCCTCTTGTTTTCCTCTTCATATTTGATGGACGGTGTGTGTATTCTCTTGGGTTAGGTTAGGGACCATCAACCTGCTCACTCAGGCTGGGCTACACAAGGCCCAAAAATGGCCTAATAGTGCAATGAAATTCACACTTTTGACAATATTAAATATATTATAATGCAACTATCAAAACAAAGAAATGATAAAGAATCGTAAAATTAGTATTTTTTTTGTTTTAATTTTAAAAATATTTTTTTCTAAAAAAAAGGGAAGAACAATTGAAGCCAAAAAACAAAGAGAGAGGATAAACTCCTCTAAAAAAAAGGGAAGAACAATTGAAGCCAAAAAACAAAGAGAGAGGATAAACTCCTTTAATAGTTAAAATTATATGATGAGCTAAGAAACATGATTGACTGAATTGTTATGTTATTATTGTATTTATTTTCCAATGAAAACCGATCAATTATATTGATAATATCATTAAATTTCGTTATGCTTTGGTCCAACAATCTAATTAGATTGAGGTTTCCCTTTTTAATTTATAAGAGTAGATGAGTGGTTGACATTTACAATTCTTTTTCAATTAAGAAGAAGCAAAATCAATAAAATTGTACTGATTATATTTATAAGAAACTGAATATAGGCAAGGAAAAGGGAAAGAAAAAACTCTGCTCATAAATTTATTGGCCATGGAATCATGCCATGTGAATAGCTGTGCAACAGATCAAACCCAATCAACTTGTCATTTCTGAACACGATCATCGAACTAGACATTGCAATAAAATGTAGAAGCCTTGATCTACGTACTGGAAAACCTAGTATTTCCGCTGCCACAATGTTCTAGAAACAAAGGATATACAGGCAGGTTGCCCCATTGTCCTCACTGACTAGAAAAGAAAATCATACATGTGGGTTGGTTTTCCTCTGCTCCAGCCACAAATCTTTAGGACACGTTGTATTTAATTATAAGATTGATTTAACAAAAGAATTGATAGCACTATACTCTGAACTTGTGGATCGAAGAGATCAAATGTGGCCTTGCTGGTCATGGCATCATGTAAGATATGATTTAATTATTAAACCCTGCACGTAACCCACTTGACTTTTTTTAACATAAATATAAAAATATTATTATGATGACTGACATTTGGATAATTATGGTATAATTGTTTTTCAATAGTGGAAACTAAGACAAGATCATGGACAAGCCGGGTGTTCAGAATGTGACCGTTAAGAAGGTAATTTTTTTTTAGTTAGAATGAGACTGTTAAGAATGTAATTAATATTGTGTCTATAATAATTTATATATATCTTAATTAATTTTATATGTTTTAAAGTTAATTATTATATAATTTTTTAATAGTTTTGAGATTTATAAAACTTAAATTGATAATTTTTAAAGAGTAACTACAAAACCTAACCAATTGAATTATATATTAAAAATATAATTTTTACTATTATTATAAATGGGTTCAGAATAAAGTGAGACCGAGCACTGTATTTATCGGAGGAACTCGATTCATTGGTGACGCTATAAACAATTTTAGAAATCCTGCTATCATTAATGAACATTAGTACCGTCGTCAAAACCCAGACTGCCCTATGAGGTAAGAAGCTTGATCCATCACTATTTTCTTTCTTCTTCGGATGTAAAACATTATAGTCTTATTGGCTTTTTTTCCCTAATTATGTTGTGCTATTAGGGTAAAAACAAGAGATATGACATATGAAAGCATCTTGAGGAATACTCGCTGCACCTGTCATCATAAAATACATACTTTAGTAGTTCAATAAATTCACTCACAGGTTTGAAGTTCCAAGATATAAATTTGACCCACTTAAATAAAGGAGCTCAATCATCTTGTACAAACGTGGATGGAAAGATAATTGGCCGAGTTCAATCAAATGATTGTTTGTAATTTTCTTTATCTGATAATCACATTGAGTTTTGGAGAAAAATAGATGTTAAACAGCTAATTAACCTGTTAAAAGAAAAGGGGTATCGGGTTCCATTTAATCTTATTAGCAAAAATGCTTTCCTTGCAGAATAAATTAAATATAAAGAGACATGAAGGCTGAATATTTTCTTGACGATGAAGGCGGTCAAATGCGGCGGTTATGAGAGAATTGAGTAGGTATTAGAAATGCCATATATAATGGACATGCATGGAAGAGCTCTGTATTGATTAATTGTCACATTAACAACTTTTTTTTGTTGTATACTATATTGTTGGGTTGGTGATAACCATGATAAATAGATATTGGCTCAAAGTTTCATTGAACTCTAAAGAACCAGAACTCGCAGTACTGCTCATTAGACTTTATTATTATTATTATTATTATAATAAAAAGTCAAGATAGCCAAATGTGTGCGAAAAGGATAGGATTTGAATAATGTGAAATCAACACCTTTATTTTTTTTATTTGAGAAAACCCTACCTTTTAAAAAGTATATTTTGTGGTTCAAATACTTTTAAAAAGTATATTTTGTGGATTCAAATAAACGAGTAAAATCCTGATTGTTTTAGGTTCTTATAAGAGATGCTCGTTTTGACTCGAATTTTAAACCTACTATACAAATCTCAAACCTTTTGTCATTACGCTACACTCTTTATATCAAACAAATTTACCTATATATCACATTTTCATTTCTTTTGGATTTTTATATATATATTTTTTATAATAACAAAATATAAATAACACGAGCTAGTCAATGCATCATGAGGAATACTAGCTGCACCTGTCATCATAAAATATATACTATTAGTAGTTCAATAAATTCACCCACAGGTTTAAAGTTCCAATATATAAATTTGACCCACTTAAATAAAGGAGCTCAATCATCTTGTACAAACGTGGATGGAAAGATAATTGGCCGAGTTCAATCAAATGATTGTTTGTAATTTTCTTTATCTGATAATCACATTGAGTTTTGGAGAAAAATAGATGTTAAACAGCTAATTAACCTGTTAAAAGAAAAGGGGTATCGGGTTCCATTTAATCTTATTAGCAAAAATGCTTTCCTTGTAGAATAAATTAAATATAAAGAGACATGAAGGCTGAATATTTTCTTGACGATGAAGGCGGTCAAATGCGGCGGTTATGAGAGAATTGAGTAGGTATTAGAAATGCCATATATAATGGACATGCATGGAAGAGCTCTGTATTGATTAATTGTCACATTAACAACTTTTTTTTGTTGTATACTATATTGTTGGGTTGGTGATAACCATGATAAATAGATATTGGCTCAAAGTTTCATTGAACTCTAAAGAACCAGAACTCGCAGTACTGCTCATTAGACTTTATTATTATTATTATTATTATAATAAAAAGTCAAGATAGCCAAATGTGTGCGAAAAGGATAGGATTTGAATAATGTGAAATCAACACCTTTATTTTTTTTATTTGAGAAAACCCTACCTTTTAAAAAGTATATTTTGTGGTTCAAATAAGCAAGTAAAATCATGATTGTTTTAAGTTCTTATAAGATATACTCGTTTTGACTCGAACTTTAAACCTATTATACAAATCTCAAACCTTTTGTCATTACGCTACACCCTTTATATCAAGCAAATCTACCTATATAACACATTTTCATTTTTTTTGGATTTTTATATATATATTTTTTAGAATAACAAAATATAAATAACACGAGCTAGTCTTGGAACCAAAGGGAAACACAAATCAATTATATATATAATCCTTGTCAATTCTTGTAGAGAGGCTGTTTAACACGGTTTTTATTTTTATTAGTTTTTAGTTGTTTTTTAAAATTAATTTTTAGTTTAAAATTATATTAAATTATTGTTATTTTAATATTTTTTATGATTTTAATATGTTGAGATTAAATTTTAAAAAAATATAAAAAATTATTTTAATAAAAAAACATTTTAAAAAAACAACAATGCACAAAACACAACACAAGCACCCCAATATATTTTGATTTTTTTTTTTCATTTTGATTGTCCAAATAGATTGCAATGTCCATAATCCCCACCATGGTGATAACAGAATCCCCATCCTCCCAAGTCAGCACAAATCCACCACCTTTAGGCTTCTAGTCAAGAGGTTTATGTTTATAATACAACATTTGATCATTTGTATGGTAAAAATGGTTTTGAGCATGTTTAATTTTTTATTTTTTTAGTTATGTTATATAACAGAATTTATAACATTAAATCACAATCCGGCAACGTGTATTATTATTAATTATTCTTAACTTTTATGTCTATATTCACAATTAATAATTCTACATTTGTTAACTTGTATAAATATAAATCCTAATATTTCAATTCTATTATTTATATCCTTTTATATTTAAGATATTAGTTTGAGTTTTCAATATCTTTAGGGTACGAGCCAATCGGATACGACTTAAAATGTATTATTTGGCTAATTAATTGTTAATTTGGTTGTTAATTTTTTTTAAGATAAAAATAATTTCTATACCTTTCTCTTGTTTTTAATTAGTTTTGAATTTTAGTAATTAGAAAGTAATATTTCTAATAAAATTTGATCAAGATAAAATACATCATAGTTACATTAAAAATAAGAGATAATATAGTTTATTGATATTATAATTTGTAATAAATAATATTGTGGAGTGAGGTTAAGAATTCGTGGAATGGAAATAAAACCATTCTAAATTAAATCATTAATCTTCTTCATGTTAAGGAAAAAGAAGAAGACAACAAATAGTTTTTCAATACAAATGTAAAATGCCGTCTGTCTTTCGCTTGATGGAAACGTTTTCCTGCTCAACGTCTGAATTAAAGAAACGGACACAGAAGACCGGATTGCTTCACGGTGAAGACAATTGAAACGTGGCGACCCTGAGAAAAGTGTAAAGATGGATGCTGCTAATTACGGAAGGAAACAGGGCTTGACTTTTTTTAATCATTATCGTTATCATCAATATTTGGATATTGATGGCAACGATAATGATTAAAAATATACGTTGCTTTATAGTTTCATTTACTTCTAAGAAATACTTCAGGTGGTTTGGTGGCTCCTTCATGCTCTCTGGACTGCTGTGCAAGCTGGTCTACTTCAACAATATTACTGGAGAGGCATCCTTTGACAATTCAAGCAGTTGCCCAAATATAAAAGTGGAGTTATGTAGCAGCAATTGCCCTGCTGGAGCTACGGTACTATACATTGCTCAAATTACTATAATTCTCAATGAATAATGTCGCATTATTGGACGTACTAAGGTTAGTTTTTCTTAATCTTTTTTCCTTCCATGGATGCAGACCTTGAGCTTTGTGAACTCCAACAACATAAAGATCAAAGGATTGCTGTCACTAAACAGCCAAATGTTCCACATTGTGATAAATGGCTGCCAGAATGTGCAAGTCCAAGGAGTCAGAGTGATAGCTGCTGGTGACAGCCCAAACACAGATGGCATTCATGTCCAATTATCAACTGATGTTGTGATCATGGATTCTTCGATTAAAACCGGGGATGATTGTATCTCAATTGGACCCGGGACTAAGAACCTGTGGATCGAAAGGGTCGGATGTGGCCCCGGCCATGGCATCAGGTGAGAAATGATTTAAAACCTGCAATCAGATTGATTTTCTCGGGTATATGTATTCAATGATGATTAACATGACGGGCAATTATGGGATGTTGTTTTTCAGTATCGGAAGCTTAGCCAAGACCACGGATGAGCGCGGGGTTCAGAATGTGACAGTTAAGAACACAGTTTTTAGTGGCACTACAAATGGGTTTAGAATTAAGTCGTGGGCCAGACACAGCAACGGTTTTGTTAAAGCAATTCGATTCATTGGAGCCACTATGATTAATGTCCAAAATCCAATCATCATCGATCAAAACTACTGTCCGCACAATTTAAATTGCCCCAATCAGGTTAGAAATCGGCACTTGAATAAGTTTTTTCTACATACATTCAACGACGGTATCTCGATTAAACTTGCATTTTAATCGTGTTTTGTGCTGTGGCTTGTGGCCATAGGTATCGGGCATACAAATAAGTGATGTCATGTATCAAGGCATTCGAGGAACATCTGCCACACCAGTAGCTATAAAGTTTGATTGTAGCTTCAAATATCCATGCAAAGGTATAAGACTGCAGAATGTAAACTTGACCTACTTAAAGAAAGAAGCTCGGTCAACTTGCACCAACGCGATTGGAAAAACATATGGTCAAGTTCTGCCAGATAATTGTTTGTAATTTTTCTGTTTTACTGTGAAGTATTTATATATTTTCTCTTTGTAATTAACTGTTTGTATATAAATTAATAAGTTATATATCGTTGGTATTTGATTGTTGAGAAGCAATGATATTCCAGAGGAGAGAACTATAACCTTAATTATTTCTTTATCATTTTTTATCGGGATGCTACTTGGGTATATATATTTAATTTTTATTTATACAGGAAATGATCTCTTAATTAACATATGTTAATGACATCAAAATTTTGATGTAATAATAAATCTTAGTTCATCATATCTTATTTTATTTTTTTTCTAGTTTTTATTGTAGCACATCAACACCGATTTTTTTCTTTCCATGTATTCTCTTTCCTTGTTTCTCTAAGTCCGTTCTTCTTATCCTTTTTTTTTATTGTCTCTGTGTATTCCTACGGCTATTAGTTTTATATCTCATAGGTTTTTTTCTCAAGTCGTCCATTTTTAGATTCAATCCCAAAGAAATATGTGAAAATCCTGGCGCAGTTAAGCTAATAACACAACAAAACAGAAATAATAAAAAGCAACAGTACGTATGTGGTTAGGGGCGAAGGAAAGGAATTCAAAAATTGAATCTACGTACTGTATAAGGGGCTGCAAGAATATGAACACCCCATTACAAATCAAAACCTGAAATCTGAAGATTTTATGTAGTAACCTTAACAAGTTAGTCGCGGTTAAAACATTAAGGACTCCATTCGATCGTCTTTCCAAGAAACAACAATAACAATACTGGCTTTAGTTTTAGTTAATTTAAAGTAATATTTTCTTGTCTCTCCTTTTCTTAAAGTGTGAACAAGATTTGTTTTCCATCAAATTGAAGATATTTCTCTTATTTGTTGCAAGAATCTGAGTACTTGATCCTAGTTAAAATATAAAAATTTAACGATTGATCATTTTATTAGATGCACTTGCTATCATGAAAGATATTATGTTGGAGAGCCATGGTTTAACTTGCATTTTAATGATTAAATTAACTTGCATTGAACACGTCTTATTCCAAATATGTTTTTAATGAGTAATTTTATAAAAATAAATTAACCAATAAGAATATTTGCTACTCAGCTAGTGCTACAGGGAGATATTATTATTATTCCTCTCCTAGCTAAGATAACTAGGAAAGAATATAATAATATTAACAATGAAGAACATTTTTAATTTGATTTCGTTTTTATTAGAAAAAAATAATTAAACCAATTTTTTTCATGATTTGATTTTTTTATTATTTTTTCTAGTTTTTTCAGTTTAATTGATTTTTAGTTTTTTTTGTTCACCCCTAGATATTAATATGAACAACAAAGCATTTAAAAAAAATTCAAACTCTTTTTTTTTTAAAGAAATTCTACCATCCAATTTATTTTCTTCAATTTTTTTCTTTTAATATTTTATAGATTTTGAATTAGTCATCATAATTTATTTTGGTTTTTTCTATAAAATTATTATAATCTTAAATAAACATCATAACATCTAGTTTGCACTCAATTTCTACAAGCATTTATTTTTTTTTACCATATCATTAAAAAAATAATTTTTTTTAAATCTAATAGAGTTTATGATTTGAATAGTGGGTTTTATAAGTTAAGCTCAAAACTTTAATCAACTTAATATGTTGTCTCAAAATATACATATGTGTGTTGTCTTAAAAAAAATAAAAATTAAACTATATTTTTACTGTTTATCCGGATTAATTATTTTGAAACCTTATATAGAGTCAACTTTCATACGGATTAATTTTAAACCTGAATTAAATAAAGAATTAGATCGAAAGGTTTCAAGATTGACCCAATAGATCTAGTTTATTAATAATAATAATAAATAGTCTTTTTTTTTAATCCCATCTTTCATTTATTTTTATTTTGATTGAATTCTTTATAGTTGTTTTTAATCAATTTAATTATTTAATATTTGGTTAACATTGAATTGATTTTTATAATTTATCTCGATTTATTTTCAACAAAGTTATAACAATCCAGAACAAAAGTCATGATATTTGGTTGGTGTTCAATTCTATAAGAAGCTATATTTTATATTATATTATTACGTAAAAAATAATTCAAAACAAAGTTGTCAAACACAATGAAGATAATGATTTAGGTCATAATTTTAATGGGTCAAGCTCAAAGTTTAAGTTGATCTAATATATTAATATCTTAATATAAAAGAAAAGATGTTATCTTTTTTTTTTCAAGTCAACCTATACTTTTTACTAGTTGTCCATTTTTTTTAAAATTATCAAGTTGAACGAATCACTTTAGAGTAACTTTCACGAACTAATTTTAAACCAGAGCTAATCAATGATATAAGCAAGGAGAATTCAAGATTGACCTAGATTATATTTAATAGCAATATCAAATAGTTCATCAAGTAATCTTTGTAAGTTTAATTTTTTTTGTTCAACCCAAAGCATAGCTCAAGTTAAAAAAAAAAAAAACTAGTATGAATCTAGTTCATATAAATTAGTTTTATTAGAAAAAAATAATTCAATGTAAAATAATATATGATATTACATGGATTTAATTTGTGTGATTAAGACGATGTTTATTTTTACAACGATATTGTATTGTATTTTTGAAAAAAATATTTTTTATTTTAAAATTAATTTTTTAAATATTTAAAATTATTTTATTATATTGATGTTAAAAATAAATTTTAAAAAATATATAAAAATTATTATTTTTACATATCTTTAAGAGGAAAAAAAAAAAAAAACCTATCTTGGTAGATAGAATCACATTTTCCTTCTGTTCTCGCCGAAACCTGTTTCTCGAGTTGCTCTGTCTCTACAGTCTTGCACCAACCCGCCTAACTATTTTGGTCCACAAAAGGTTCAAGGAGCATTGCTGGCTAAAACAGGCCCAGAAAATGTGATTGGAAGTTAGGTAGATAGCATTCAAAACCAGACCCGATTACTAACATCAGACGCGGCTGGGTAGTTTAAAAACAGAAACACGGCAACAGCACCACGAGACACCAACCATTAATTATATCATACTTTCTACAAGGGGTTGAATTGAGTTCTTGATGAAAATGGAAGGGGAAACAGTGGATAACAAGCAGGTAATATTCAAGGGGTTTATAGATAGAATACCGAGAGAGACAGATATGGAACTAAAGATTGGAAAAATAGAGCTCAAAGCACCAAAAGGGTCCGGAGCTTTTTTAGTCAAGAATCTCTATTTGTCTTGTGACCCTTACATGAGAGGTCGCATGCGTGAGTATTATGATTCATACATCCCTCCTTTTGTCCCTGGCCAGGTATATATACTGCATTATAGCTTTGCGAAGTTGTAGATTATTTGATATCCAGATAATCGGGATTTGCAAATCTTAATCTGTTGAAATATCAAGAATCTGTTTTGTTATGTTCCTGTTTACGATATTCAGTTTGTGGGTTCATTTGATGGAAATGTTTAGAAAAAAGGATCGGTTTTCTTGTATTTGAGATAGGGTGTCTATTGGTTTTGTAGTGGATTTGTTCTAATTTTCATGTCAAATTGGGAGATATGATTCATGGGCTGCACTGTCCTTGATTAATTTAAGTTCTCCCAGATTATTCGGATGATGCTACGAGAAAAATTACAGTAAAAAAATGTAAAAGATGTGATTCATGGGCCCCATCTTGTGGCTGTAGTGTGGAGAACTTGGGCTCGAATCCCAGCAGCCACATCCGGCTGGATATTTTTTCATTCTTTCCTGTAGGATATGGTTGGCTCCCCGTTGAGTTGCATTTAGGTGGGGAAAATCATTCTAGGCCAGGTGTTTTTCAATTCAGGAATAACACAAATCCGATGTTGATGAATTTCTTTTCTTTTCGTTTTTCCCCCCTTTTTTGCTAGAAGTTGATGGATTTCTTACCCTCGATGATTTCCTGTATTATTATCTAACACAGTATCCATACGGCTTCTGCATTGACGAATGATGCTTTATTTTGATGAAGGCGATACAAGGATTTGGTGTATCAAAGGTTGTGGATTCTGATGATCCAGATTTCAAGCCTGGAGACTTGGTTTCAGGGCTGACTGGTTGGGAAGAATTCAGCTTGATGCGGAAACATGAGCAATTGAGAAGAATCCAGCAAGATGATATCCCCCTCTCATATCACGTGGGGCTTCTTGGTACGCTATTCTTATTATTCAAGCATTGCTAATTCTTTCTCTTTTTAGGTTTTTTACATAATTTGCTAATTCACTTAATACGAAGAAGACAACATTCCATCTCTCTTATAAGTTCTTTGCCACTTGGTCCCCAAGTTTTGTACAATCTATATATAATCGACCCTTAGATTGCTCAGTTGACTTACATTAGAATACTTGGGCATTAATTATATTTTCCAGAAGGAATGAAATTGATTTCTGTGGTGAATCCTGACTCATAGCTAACTCCTTACCACCAGCTTGGCTAGTAATTTATATCACCTATTCACCAGTTGACTGTTTATGTCAATTTAGCTCCCCATCATCATAGACATAAGATACCCATTATGGTGCCCAAGCCAGTTCTCTTTTTTCTAGTTGATTTGATGAAATGTTTGAGTGCTGCTCAGCATTTATATATATATAAACTAGAAAGTTGTTTTTCGAACTTATGATTTTATTTCCTGGGGGAAAGGTTATTTGCTGCCGCAGTTCACGTCGACTTATGCTGAATTTGTTGTTTTTTCCCTCCCCGATGAGTAAAAATGAGAGAGGAAAAAACTCTCCAGCTTCATTGCTCGCGATTTTGTATCTTTGTCACTTTAAAATTTTAATCTTATGGAATTGTTATTAATTATTTTCTGATGTTGATGTATTTATCCTTGAAAATTTAACGGAAGTGGGATTTCCATGTAGGTATGGCAGGTTTTACTGCTTATGCAGGATTCTATGAGGTCTGCTCCCCTGAAATAGGGGAGAATGTCTTTGTCTCTGCCGCTTCTGGTGCAGTTGGCCAGCTTGTTGGCCAGCTTGCCAAGTTACATGGCTGCTATGTAGTTGGAAGTGCTGGCACAAGCCAAAAGGTAGATTTCTTTTATGAATATGTTATATTGATAGTGTTCTCATCTCTAATTGATACTGCTCAGGAATTAGTATTATATAATTGACAACTGCTATTAGAACTGATACAAGAAAGAAATCTCGAATGGGAAATATTAGGTTGACATTTTAAAGAACAAGCTTGGATTCGATCAGGCTTTCAACTACAAAGAGGAACCCGACCTGAATGCAGCTTTGAAAAGGTCAGTGCTCAGTAATTAGCTTTTGGAAGTTTAAGCATGATAAAAGAACATAATTTTTTCTGCTTGTCACGAAAGTAGCTTCTGATATGCCCATTTTCCTCAATGCTCAATCTAAATTCCAAAATCCCGAAACAAATATCATGAGATGGCCCCGATTACCTTGCCACTTGCTTACTTATTATTAATCATCCATGCCTTCGTGATGTTAGCCGCTGGCCTTTTCAGCTCAATTTAAAATTGTTTTTTAAAATGTTTTTTTTTAATACATCAAAATAATATACATTTTTTTTTTGAAAATTCATTTTTAATATCAACACATCAAAACGATACAAAAACACTAAAAAACTAATTTGAAGCAAAAAAAAAATCAATTTTTTTGAAAACTCCAGTTCAACCAACTGTGAGGTCCTTTGTCTACAGCATTCTATTAGAAGATGAACCAATTATTGATGCATCCAATTAACTATATTTCACCTCCTTGTTCTGCCATTGCTCTGCCATGATATTTTGGTAACTGATGCAAGCTAGACACTTTCAACAAAATGTCAATTAATTGTAGTGATTAGTTAGCAGACTCTCTCCAATTTCCAAGCATAATTTTCTTTTCTTTTTCGTTGCTTTTGTTAACTACTACATCTCACTCGATAAAAAAATGTTAAAAAACAAATGTACAAAGAGGAGTAGATTTTTAGAGGCATAGGTGGCTTTTGCTGTTGATTATCTTATAGTGAAACCCCAGAAAGAATGATGGGTTTTTCAGCCCGTTGCTTTTCTAAACATACACATAGGTTTGATTTGAAAAGCGAGTTTCCATGACTGAGATTCGAACTAGGATTTTTATCATAAGAGTCAGCAAATCAGTTGTGCACTTGATGTCTGCATTATAATTTGTGAATTTGTCTTTATAGAATGTTAAATGCATTAAACTTTCCCATACATGAGCATCTTAACTCAAGTTGTGGGTACCCAAGTCAGACACATCCAAAATTGTATCAGCATCATCTAACACAAAATTTCCTCGTGTATAAATTTCCTTACGATAAGAGTTACCCTCTATTTGATCACTGACAGAATATCCCCCGAACAGGTACTTCCCTGAAGGCATTGATATCTACTTTGATAATGTTGGTGGAGATATGCTTGAAGCAGCATTGCTCAACATGAGGATTCATGGCCGAATTGCAGTGTGTGGAATGGTGTCTTCCAACAGCCTCTCTGTTTCCAAAGGGATTCAAAACTTGTTCAGTCTCATAGCCAAACGCATTAGGATGCAAGGATTCCTGCAAAGTGATTACTTGCATTTATATCCACGCTTCTTTGAAAATGTTGTCAGTAACTACAAACAAGGGAAGATTGTTTACATTGAAGACATGAGTGAAGGATTGGAGAGTGCTCCAGCTGCTTTAGTTGGATTGTTTTATGGAAAAAATGTTGGTAAGCGGGTCATCCGTGTAGCCCGTGAATGATTTTTGGTTAGCATGGTGTACCATTTATGAACTTTTCAGGTGGAAGTACTGGAGCTGTCGTAGAGCTTTAGTAAAATCTGACTTGAAATCATCTGCGTGATTATCAGAAATCATTAAATTCAAGATATTCGTGGATGATCTCTTCAATTATGGGAACCCTTTCAGCTGAACAATACTGTCAATTCATGAGAATTTTCTCAACCCTTTCAAGTCATCATATTATTCACCACCTTTGTAGCGAAGAATGTAAACTATTGATGAGAGCCTTGAAAATTCTCTTTTTTGCGTCATAATAACTGTATGGCTGCATGGTTAACCAGACCATATGCTTGATTGGTGGTCTAGAGACTACACAGGTCCAACCGTCGAAGTGCCTGCGGGGCACGGCTGGCCAAGTTGATTAAACATATAGATTAAAATACTCTATTAGATTTTGATTTGGATTCAGACTTGTTTTCAAGAAAAGAGAGAAATGTATTCAAGTTAAAAAAAAATTTCTATTTATTTTATTTTTTAATATACTATATATGATGATGATTTTATTTTTTATTTAAAAAAAAAAGATAAAATCATCATCGTATAAAAAATATCATGTTATTTTAAAATATAAATTATAATTTTTAAAAAATATAAAGTGAAAAAAATACTCAAATCATAGAAATATCATTGATGATTTTCTTTAAAAAATTCTTAAAAAGGAATTGTCAGGTGAAAACATCTCATTTACGTGTAATTCTTGAGGTTTTTTTTAAAAAAAATATCACATGAGTATATTATATTTGCCGACCGAAGGTGGTGATGACTTTTGTTTTAGGTGATAAGTGTAGTCCATTTTATTTATTGTTGGTAATTGAATCTTTATAGTTGAGATAATTTTTAAGATATTAGTGATATTATAAACTCTGTTGTATCTTAGAATTATTATTTTTTTCTCTTCTCATATCCAATCCAGTCCATTTTATGTATTTTTTTTAATATCACGTTTTAAAATTACAATCAGAAATATGTTACTTTGACATTATTTAAAAAAAATGCTAATCTCAAAAAAAAATCATAATTTTAATTCTGGAGATCATTGTTGATAAATGAAAAAAGAAAAAGTTATATCAAGCATGCTAATCGTCTCGATCGCTCGTTTAGTTAGGTGCTTTTAAGTATTGGCTCGTGGCCTGTTCCATAGGTGCAGAGTACTCTGAAACAAAAAGAGATGGAAACGGTGAGCAGCAAGCAGAAGCAGTTGGTGTTGAGAGATTATGTAAGAGAGTGAATTTGAACTGAGATCATCTGAGACCAATTGCATCCTCCCCTATGGATCCAAGGCTGTGCTTCTAAAGAATCTCCGCCTTGAATGTGACCCGTTCATGCGCCACCGCATGTCCAGTCATGTCTCTCATCCCGGGACCATTATCAATCCCTTCTCTCCTGGCTCTGCTATTGCATACAAATTTATGTCGTTGCCATTGAAATTAACTAAGAGGTTTTAGACCTTTTTACAAACTGTAAGGTTGTCTATTACCATATTTCAAATGATTTGGACAGTGCTGTCATTACTTACAGCTACCTGAGATTAAAGACTTCAGAAAATGATAATGCTGTGTTCTTAATTTTCTGTGATCTTTTTTCTTTTCTTTTTCATTTTTTATCCATCAGGTTCTTGTGGGGTGTGGTGTATGTAAGGCCATTCAGTCCACACATCCAGGCTTCCAGGAAGGTGATTTTGTTTGGGGATTAACTGGGGGGGGAGAATACACAATGACTATTACGACCTCGAGCCATTCCTTTATAGAATTCATAGGTTTTGCGAGTCTTGCTTGAGCATTTGCTAAGTTTTCTCATGGTTCTCAATAACTACTTTTAAGAATAGTTCTTATAAATGAAATATTTGCGTGACCATCTTTTTGTGAAAATTCTGTCTTTAGGGTTTGTACTCCCCCTTCTCTACCCGCCTTTAGTTTAATGTAGATTGTGGAATGGCACAGTATGTTCCAGTGCAGAAGTTAAATTATACTTAACCATATACCTTACTTAGCAGAAGTTTGAAATTCTGACATTTTTATGTCAGCCTGATGGTAGAATCATACAAGCTGTTCAAACCAGTGTCATCAGAAATGGCCTGGCCAGTACACCAGCAAGGGTGCTTGGTTGCTGGTTCACCGGTTAGCCTGCAGTTAAACTCTAACCAATCTAGGGTAAATTTCTAGAGTTCGTTTTGGTTTTATAAACAGAAAACATTTCCTCTTATACTTAAACAAACTTCAGTGTGGAGGCTTTCATTACATTCTTCTCCATGTGCAGTTGCTTTCAAATAATTGATGCAAATTTTCATTTTTCAAGTTGAGTTCCTCGAATCGATAAGTTTTCTTTTGTTTGTTGATACCATTTTCCTTACTTCTCTGAAACTTAGTTTGCTGGAACTCTTTTTGACCAGGAATGGGAGGGGTTGCTTCTTATGTTCGCTTTTACAGCTTATGCTCTTCAAAAGCAGGAGAAACTGCATATGTTTCTTCAGCATGTGGAGTAGTCCAACTAGTTGGTCAATTCGCCAAGATGATGGGTTGTTATGTTGTTAGAAGTGCTAGCACTGAAGAAAAGGTGTTCACTTACTTCTCATGTGGCTTTTGAATCCTGCAGTTAGTGAAGTAGGTTAATGCAATTCGACCATTGAAGGCAGATCAAAAAAGTACATTCGATCTAACATGACGAGGTGGTTCGGGTTAATCTGTCAAAGACCAAGTTTGGATTCGATGATGCCTTCAACTATAAAGAGCATGATTTAGCTGCAGCTTTAAAGCGGTGATTTTCCAAGCTTGTTAACCAAAGTCTGATGGCCTGTTTAATTTCTTGAATTCAGTTCGTTCAAATACATCAATCTAGAGGTCAAGGTGGTTGCAAGGGCTGACATATCCTTGCATAACAGTTTCTTAGACTGGCAATGTTCCTACCTCAATTGCTTAAAGATTAGTGAAGAAACAGCATTGAGTGATCTCTACTCTTTCAATTGGCAACGCTAATGGGATACCTCAAACTTTTTAAGAGAAGAAAGAAACAGGCAGACACCAAGTAAATTTCATGAATTTAATGGAGAAAACTTCCAGCAACTATTTCTTCGGAGTGTAGCCTCAAGTTTTAGAAAATGATATTTTTTTTTTTCCAATTTAAACGTCACTTGTTATGTTCTTTTTTCTATGATGAAGGTATTTCCCAGAAGGCATAGACATCTACTTCGACAATGTGGGTGGTAAAATGCTTGATGAAGTAATCCTGCACATGAAACCTCATGGAAGGATTGCAGCCTGTGGAATGATTTCTCAATACAATCTTGAAGAACCAGAAGGCATACACAGTATGTTTAATGTGGCCGTAAAGAGCCTTGAGATAAAAGGCTTTGTCGAAACAGACTTCAAGCACATATGTCCAGAATATCTTGAATTTGCGATCAGGCACTTGCAGGAAGGGAAGCTGGTCTACGTTGAAGATATAGCTGAAGGTCTAGAAAATGCTTCTTCCGCTCTGATTGGAGTTTTCCATGGTCATAATGTGGGTAAGAAAGCTGTTCGTGTTGCTTCTGGGTAACATTTTCTAAACATACAACGCTCGAAATGGTCATATGGCGAGAATCAAACATGTCCCTCCATTTCTGGCTCCATGTTAACCATGCATGTTAATTATGTTGAAATGAATTACTTTTTATCGCGAGATGACTTTTATATTCATATTGGGTCTGAACCCTCAATTAGCTACTGTGTCAATTGAACATGAAAATAAATAAATTAAATAAACTGTTTCAAGGAATAAAAAATGAAAAAGAAAATAATTTTATATTACGAAACACGCGCTTGATATTTCATCGTCTCGAAGAAAAAATAAAGAGACAGATTGGCGGCTGTGAGAAATCCAGAGTGAAAGGAAAGAGAAGGGAAAATGCATTGCTTTGCAGAGCAAGTTCTGTTTGTAGTTTGATCATCCCAAGATCGGACACGCAACCGACTACTGAAAAGGGCAGTCAACGCCATGATTGCCGCGAAGAAATGACAGAGGGCCAAATCCTCAGTCTTAGAACGTAGAGGACCAGATTATAATTAACAAGTATTCTTGTCGAAAAAAATGTTATTTAATAAATGTTACAAACTAGTCCCCAATTATGTTTTCTTTTCAATTTAATTCTTAAATATCAAGCCATAAACTTTGTCAAGGTTCTTCAAATGGATATAAATGATTAATATCAATCACAGTAATGAAAAGCAATCACATCCATGACCAATTAAACCAATAAAAAAAATTAAGAAATTCAGGTACCGTTATAAGACAGAATTCATTCTTGTAATATCATATATTTATTATATTATTTTCTTCTTTTATTTTTATCTCAACTTCTTTGGACTAAAAGCAGGAAATAAGTTTTTGGAAAAAGAAAGGAAATTCTTAAAGTAAATATCGATATTACATGAAATAAAATCTATTTTTTAAACGAGCATTTCTATTTGAATTTATTTAACCCTTACTTTATTCATCAATTCATTTAAATTATTTGATAAATTCTGATCAAGTTTACAATGTAGGAACTTAATTGGAAAGAAATAAAAGAACTAAATAATATTGTAAAATACGATGATAAAAAAAAAACTTTCAATTAAAGACTTTTGTCTAGGAAAAATAAAATACGGGACCAGATTGATTTTTAAAAAATAATACAGGGACTAAATGTAACGCACAATGTAATGGGCTAAATGCAGGGACGAAATATTCGTTTTCGAAACGGCATTTCAATTCGGTGGATGCTTAATGTAGCGATGGTGGTTCTCTCATGATTTGCCCTTCTTCTTTTTGCACGCTCTTGCAGATTTGACCCTTTCTTTTCAGTTGTTTTTTTAATTTAATTTGTTGCTTTTATGAATTTCTTACTTCCAACTGCTGTTTCTTTTCATATCCTCCTCCCGTTGTCCCTACACAATTATCACCCTGGTTGATTTCCTAAAAGGTTAGCTAATATAATTGATGTTAACTTGCCTTCCTCTTATCCAGGTTGATTTCTCAACTCTTATTGGTTTCTGTTGCATGCAAGTCACAGCTGAGGCTTTCCTTTCGTCCTCTTATTGAACCTGTATGGGTTGTTTCTTAGTTTGAAACCTCTGTCTGTCGTTTATATAAATTTCTATTGTCACAAGTTCTAAATCCCTATTTCTTATCCAGTTCTGTTTATTTATCACTTCCAGT